TCTTCTTCACCAGCATTTAGCAAAGTTTCTGGCAAGAGTATTTGCTAAACAATATTTATTAAATAAATGAACTCCTGGAATTCGGATAAGATGTATGTTAGGCCATCTCACTTTATCCTCCATGTCTATTCATACCACTTTCATATTTTTCATCTTTCCTCTGATTTGATTTAGCTTTATTTCCTCAGCTTTTTTTTTCTTTTACAGTTTTAAAACCCTCTTTTTTAACTGTTTCTAATATGCTATAAAATCCATACATTGCATCTTTGTTTTAATTGAAAGATTTTTTTCATTTCTGGAATTTCTGTCTTTTTTTTTTCAAATATTCTAGCTTGTTTTTTAAAAAATAATAATAAATTACTCTTCCCTGCAGATGTTTTTAAGCCTTTCTTTATACCTAGTAAATATAGTTGAGTATGATAATTCCATTATCTAAAGTCCTCTCAGATCTGTTTCTGCTGTCTGCTATTTCCACTGTTTTTTGATCATGGTGCCTGTTTTTTGTGTGTTTATTTTTCTTTGACAATAAGCTGCTCTTTTTCCTTCAAAATAATTTTCGTGGAACTTTTGAGTTCCAGGATGAAGTGAATTTCTCTTGAGAGTGTTTTTTTTTTTTTTCTTCCACGTAATTGCCAGTATCACCAGTCTAAGGCCACTATGAACTAAATTTATAGTTTGAGGATTTTTGAACCATGCTAGTAACATTAATTTGGGCTGCAAATATATGAGGGGTGATTTGTGGTTACCACTTCTCAATGGTGGCTTTGTGGTTGTTTGCCTCATCACCAAGACAAATGTCCATGCTGTAACCTGTTGGTAGAGGTATGGGAAAGGTTACTTATCTTTCACCCTTATATTGATGATGTAGCCTTGTGCAGTCTTTAATGCATGAGGGAAAAATCCCCTATTTGATGCCCTTCCTTAAGTGAGCTGTAGACATAGCTTTAAAAAAATCAAATTTTGGGCCGGCCCGGTGACGCACTGCTACAGTGCACCGCTTGGGGGCGCGGCGGCGCTCCCGCCAAGGGTTCGGATCCCACATACAGACCGGTTCCGGCTCACTGGCTGAGCGAGGTGCGGGCGCGACGCCGAGGGTTGCGATCCCGTTGCCGGTCCCGGTCCGGTACGGGTGTGACACTGAGGGTTGCGATCCGTTGCCGGACACGAAAAAAAAGACAAAAAGGAAAAAAAAATAAAAAATAAAAAATAAAAAAAATCAAATTTCCCCAGAATGATTTCTCTGGGTATTGTTCTTCACTTTGACATTATCCAATAATATGGTACTATTTTGTTATTTGATACTTTTAGATTTCATAATATATTTTATCATTTC